ACTGTTGATATGATTGTTGATATGATTGTTGATATGATTGTTGATATGATTGTTGATATGATTGTTGATATGACTGTTGACATGGTTGTTGATACGGTTGTTGAATCGGTATCTGTTGTTGAACCGGTTGAACAGCATTTTTTTCATTTGTATTATTAATCACATATGTAGTCACAGCAGGTGGAGTGGTGACAAACATTTGTGGTTGTTGAATTGTTTGAATTCGCTGATGTTGAATTTGTGGCTGTTGAGTTGGACCTTGAGCTATTATAACATCTTGCTTACCGGATTTAACGGGTTGGATTTGATTTACCAATTCTATCGGAAAAGCGGGTACAACTTTAGTTTGCATTTGCGATGTCGAACTGATCGCATTGTTATTACTAAGATAAACTACGTTACCAGCCGAAGTTTGAGAAATTATTGGTTGCATTGTATATGCATTAACAGGATTTATAATTGAATTATTAACGTAAACTGGTTGTGGATTAGGATTGTTCATATATACAATTGGTGGTATAGTTTGAAGTGGTTTTTGAACTGGTTGATGTGGAGCTGCATAGTCAATGATGTTTTTTCCTTCGTTAAATTGAGTACTTGAATCTTCTTGTATATCAGAAGTATCAAAGTCCTGATGCTGAGTAGCTGAACTCTGTTTTTGAACACAAGAACTCTGCTGTTGAATAGCAGGACTCTGCTGTTGAATAGCAGGACTCTGCTGTTGAATATCAGAACTCGGTTGTCGAATAACAGGACTCTTTTGTCGAATAACAGGACTCTTTTGTCGAATAACAGGACTCGGTTGTTGAATAATAGGACTCCGTTGTCGAATAACAGGACTCTGTTGTTGAATAACAGGACTCTGTTGTTGAATAACGGGACTCTGTTGTTGAATAACAGGACTCTGTTTTTGAATAACAGGACTCTGTTGTTGAGTAACAGGACTCTGTTGTTGAGTAACGGGACTCCGTTGTCGAATAACGGGACTCTGCTGTTGAATTACAGGACTCTGCTGTTGAATAGCAGGACATTGATGTTGGACAGCAGGACATTGATGTTGAACAACAGGACTTTGATGTTGAACAGCAAGACTTTGATTTTGATTAGCAGGGCTTTGATGTTGGTAATTCTGACTGTGAGGGATAGCTGGATTTTTATTGTTAGAATTTCGTCTATTAGAATTTTGGTTATTGGGATTTCGATTCTGATTATTCATATGATTTATGTTACGATTAGTCTGATTAATATCTTTATTAACCTGACTTATATTGTTCGTGTTATTATTAATCTGATTTGTATCATTATTAAAATCCATGTTACTAGTAGATGATTTTTCATTTACTAAAGAATCTGTAAAAAGGTTTGTAGGAACAGATTTTGGATAATAATATAAAGACGGAGCATCTTCTATCTTCTCTGGCACTTTTTTCGAAGGTGGAGGTGAGATATCTTCATAATCTGTTGTTATATTAACTTTATTCATTTTATAAGTTAATTTTTCTATTTTACTTGGTGTTTTCATTGTCTTGTAATTTGGATTTTCTTCCAAGAATTGTTCTTTACAATCTAAACTGCACCATTCAACCCTTTGTCCGTATTCAAGCATTCTTGGGTAAGATTCACATATTTTACATGCTTCAACATATTTTAATTTTACTGCTTGTTTTTGACATCTTTTTGAACAGTATTCAGATTGTTGGTTCGTATCTGGGTCTATACGAGCTGCTTTACCACATACCAAGCATTTACAGTTATTCTTCATGATCTCTTATATAAAAAGCCCTAGGTATAAAAAAGTAAATATATATACAGTATATACAGTATATATTTTTTAAAGTTGTTTTTTTTTTCAAAGTCCTTCGTAAAGATTGCTGGTTTTTTTTTCAAAGATTGTTGTTGAATGTTATTGAAAAAAAAATGAATGTTTGCTTTGTAATATCGTAAATATACCATTTTTATGTATCTATATTTACGCATCTAGTAGCATTTGTATGCATTTGTATGCATAAAGCTGTTGCGCAAATTGTTTGGATATATAATTTAAATATCATATGATTGCTATGATGTGACGTTATTCATGATTAGGTTTGAGCACGAAATTAAGGATTTATCCACTTGTTTAATATGTCTTTGTAATAATCTGTCCGTTTTACATATAAGTCTAGCGATATGGTTTCTCAAAAATTTAATTCTCTTTGTAACATACTTTATAATTCACAAATTACTTTCTCTGTATGGTTCATTGTATAGACAATTGAAAATTAAACGGAATATTTTGTCCGATTGTTATATTACTAGCAGATTGTACACCGAACAATCTAAATATGTATTTAAGTTACCAAAAAAGGCAATTGTATAATAAATGTTGATCAAACGAATCGTGAATGCTATCTCTTAAATTGCACAACTTTTTTTTGTTTTTTTTCTTTTAAAACAATCTAATCAACGCATATATAATTATCGAAAATTTTCCGAAAATTTTTTACTACTTAATTTTTTGTGTGTTTCAAAGAAATCATTCCTTATTAATAAAACAAAGAATTCTAAACCGTTGCAGAACATGTGGAATCTTAACATGGAAAAATCCTGTCACTGAATATTTAGAATCTCAGAAGGAAAAATTTTGTGTCGCTGAAAATGAATTAAAATAAAGTTTATATTTAAAATAAAGATTGTTCCTTTTTATCATATTTTGTAGCATAGAGTATTCCCGGTTGATTGTACCCTCTTAATTTGTATCAAGTCCATTAGTTGTGTATTTTGTGTAATGCCCAGGTAAACTTCTTTTATCAATAGGCGTGTTTCGAACATGAAAACTACATTTCAAATTAAAGTTAACTTAGGTAATTCAATTTAGCGAGAAGCCTTAATTAAAACAATAAAAAAATCTTTTGAACGGACACATAAGTTATTGTAAACTTTATAATTTGTACTTGGGGACAGTTTGAATGCTAAAATTTCTTTTTTATACGGATATGTATTTTTTAGAAATAGCACGAGAAATGAAAAAAATGCCCTGTGCACATTGTTATACTCGGATATATTAGTCAATAATTTACGATAAGTTTTCATTGCTCAATGCTTAAATTGACGCATCAACAATATTTAATGACCTATCTCGTTGAGACGAATCGGATGTTGCAAAAATCCAATCACTGGATTACGAAAAATTATTAGTTTGACAATTACATTGTATATAACAATAGATTTTTGTAAATTTATCAAGTTTTAATACAATAATACAATGAAACAGTACACCTCAATAACTGCACGTCTTTAAGACCAGGTATATACGTACACATAAAGAGTGCGTGCGACAATAGAAATGAGCTGCTTCAAGAATTATGTTGATTAATGTTACAAAAATAGTAATAATATTTTCCAGAGAACAATCAAAAAAATCCGGGTCTAAATGCATCGGAACTGGGCCGGCTTAAGCAATCTAGTCTGAAATACCAGGCACGGACTATTAAAAATGGCGAAGCATAGTGCCCTTATATGGCGTCTGCAGAACCCTGCTAACCAACCTAGCTTATACGCACTGTTAGACCCATAAAGCCCCGAAGTAAAATGCGATTCACGTGATCACGACCATATGCAGTGTTCCATGAACCCAAACCTCTAGCCGTACAACTTTATTTATTTTTATTTTGTATATGTAGCATTTGCCGACCAAATTCGTAACGTTACATTTTGATCCATCATCAATATCTCTGATTTTATAATTCCAATCATCTTATCAAATGGTACTAGAACCAATCACTATATCACGAGATATCGAATGATGGATCAAACCAATTTTCATGTTACGTTACGGATTTATACGAATTTGGTCATATTACAGTATTACCTTATATAGTTATTCATACAAACAGAGAGATTTACGCGTAAGAAATAATCGTTCGATATTTCAAACACGAATTAGATCTATATTCAAATAGAGTTCGCTACACTACCTTAATTACTCAAGCGAATATAACCAGTCATGAGCTGTGCTTATTAGCACGCATCGGAAAAAACGACCTTCCAGAGAATGAGTTAAATAATATAAATGAACAAAAAGTGTTTACTTATTATAAAATCGCTGTTGGTCAAATACGCGATTACTGGTTTCAATAAATTTGTTCAGAGAAAATTGCATAGAAAAAAAGTATCCTAATATAAACAAAGCGTCAAAAAGAAGGATTCATTGGTGTTAGAAAATCGAGTGAAATTAAAAGACGGATAGAAGATGTTCTGACAATTGTGTATATTGAACATGTATTTAAAGACTTACTCTCAGTATATTATCATTCAGACCTTGTCTAATCAATAAAAAATTTAATATTCGTGTCTTCATGCACAAAGAGAAAATTTGTTTAGTCACATAACATCTTGATCACGTGATTACCGCGAAGGTTTCTCACATACCTGATTTATCAAAGTTCACCTATTAATCCATACTTGTTACTCGACTAATTGTATCTTAATATAACTTTAGCCGATTTTTCTTTATAATACCGTGTTATTACTATAAAACCTTAGGGGCTGGTATTCGTACCCCCACATTTGGTATTCATACCCCAGTAAAAATAAAATTTTTAAAACTTATAACGAAGATATTTAAAAAATAACCTTACCAATTTGATAAAACTTTTTTTATTTGAATTCTATGAATTCATAGAATTCAAATAAAAAAAATTTTTTATCGAATTTGATCAGGTCTTTGTCGAGATACCTTAGCTCAAAGTTTAAAATATCAGCGCATCTCCTATTTGATAGGTGGTTTGATTTTCCTTTAACTTTGAACGAATATATTTCATTAACTACATGGTCAAATTCAATGAAATTTTTTATATGAATTCTATTAATTCGTAGTGAGATATTTTCGCTCAAAGTTTTAAAAAAAAATTAGGCGCAGCTTTTATTTTGATAGGCGTTTTGATATGTGACTTGTATGTAACCTACATGTAACCTACCTAAAGCTAACTATATTTTTATAATTTTTAATAGGCCAATATAAGCTAGCTTTAGGTTACATATAAGTTATATAAAATTACATACCAGATACTACTAATTTTTACCGATATTTTTGATTTTCATAAACGGTGGTCAAATTATTATTTTACTTGTTTTTTTTTTAAGCTGCTTAAGTTTACATTATACTTACTGTTCCTTAACTAATTTACATGCCTCCGTTGCCCATGTATCTCCTGGCTTAATTTTTAATAATTCCTCCAAGTCAGCAATTGATTCATTATACCTTTTCATCA